GCCTCCACGGTGCTTTAACATTATTTCCCATATATTTTCATTTTTATTTTTTTATTGAGAAATTACTCATATACCCCTAAACTAACCCAATATACTTGAAGGCTTCTACTAATGGGCTTAATTTTTTGAGGCCCCAAAATTTTGGAGGCCCTGTACAGAAGTACAGCCTGCACGCCCTCGTGCACGGCCCTGTGGATTGGGATAATGAGCTCGGGAAACCGGTCTAGGAAACTCGAGGAAACCCCTCGAGGTTAAACCTAGGGAATCTCGTTCGGAAACCTCGTTTGGAAAGAGAAGCTCACGAAATGAGTTCGTGGGAGTCGAAAGGATTAGGCTCCTCTTGGCTCGGTTAATCTTCTAGATAGATCGGGTCAATGAGCACGGGAAACCGTCCTAGGCGACTCGGGAATAACCCCCGAGGTTAAACCTAGGTAATAATCGTCCTAACGGCTTCCATTTGGAAAAAGTAACTCATTAAAACAAAAAAAAAAAATGAATGAAAAAAAAATAAAAGTAAAAAATGGGGGTTGACTTATGGTCTCGATTTTACTATACTATATATTGAGTAGACCGTTTTGAGTTTTTTGCACGTATTTATTGTAAAAGGAAGTTTGCATTGAGTAAATCATGATTGAATAACTTGGGACTTGTTTTTGTTTTGTTGGATTCACATGTGGGAACCGTGCTCTCGAGTTTGAGTTTTATTTTGTAAATAACCGAGTGATTAGGAGAGTACATAATGCATGTTTGTTGATCTTGGACCGCTCGATCTCTCCTTTCAACACTACTTGTTGTTTTGTTTGCTTGAGGACAAGCAAAGGTTTAAGTGTGGGGGAGTTGTTTATTGTGTTTTTGTGCTTATTTTTGTGTGTTTTGTGTGCTTTGTTTTATAGTTTTTAGGCTCGTTTTAGTGTCGACCGGTCCATTTTATCGTGTTTTGTGTATTTTTGTTATTGTATAGTGTTTTCGTATTTTTTGCGCGTTTATCTTTTGTTTTGGTGTTGAATAGGTCCACCTTGGCGAGAACGAGGAGACGAGCCGTCCAACCGGAAAATCCGCCCAAGCCATATCGTGACGAAGAGAATTCAATTAGGAGAATATGGATCCAAGTTTCGTGCGAATTGGAGTTGTGTGCAAGAAGTTAGAGCAAATCGAGCATCAAGAGGTCATGGGACCATTTCCAGCCAGCGAAAAACGATTTCGCGCCTGCGAAATCGCCTTCTATCCTGCGAGTTTCATCATCTAAGCTGCGAGTTTTGGTGTATCAAGCTGCGAAAATCAAGGACCTATCCTGCGAATTCGACCTATCCTGCGAGTTTTCATCATTTAATGTGTGTGTTTTAGTGTGTGTTTGTGGTGTAGCTATAAAAAGACCTTATGCTTTGTATTTTTGGGGACAACTCTCATTTCCCAACTTTTAAGTTGGGAATTCCTCTCTATTTTCTTTTTTCCTTTTTTTATGCTTTGGTTTGGAGCTTATGAATCAAGTTTTCCGGTGAATTTCCGGCGACGTTGTTTCGAGTAAAGTTTCGAGCTTTTGACTCCGGTTTTCTTCCCAAGTGCGTGTGAGAGTGGGTACTTAGTCTTAAGCCTCATTACTTCGTATATCTTTGTTTGCTTTTGTGAAAATCGATATTGTGCTTGTGTTGCTTGGAGGAAAATATTGAATCTTTAGATCGAGAATGCTTGACTAAGTGTGATTAGGAGTTGAATTCTTGCTCGTCTTGTGCTAGAGTTGGGTTTAGCTTCCTAGGGTTTTAGCTAGAATGGCAATGTTCGGTTATTTGCGTGTGATTGATCATGGAGACTCTGTCAAACCAAAATCTCTCTTTCCCCCTTGATTTCTCTAATCTTCTTGCGTGCTTTACTTGCTTTCGATTTCAATTTCGTAGATTAGCTTAGTTTAATTCAAATCCCCAATTTGCGAGTAGAATGTTTAGGACCTTTTTGGTTGTGTGATTTTGACGACTAGGTAGTGAACGAAGCTCCGAATAGCCTTCCTTTGAGAACGACCCGAGTCGGGTAGCTCGGTTACCACATGCCCAAAAATATACTCAACAAGTACACTTGCTCCCAAGTGATAAAAGAGTCTGGAGCAAGTGTCATAAACCAAGCCTTAGCTCGGTCCTTGAGCGTCTCGGGAAAATGAGATCTTCAGTTGGTCCTCATTCAACCCGTGGAGTGGAAAGGTCTGGAGGACATTGTAGAATTCACGAATGAAATAAAGTGGATCCTCATTTGGGAAAACGTGAAAAGTTGGTAGCTGGTTGTAATGAATCATCTTGAGCTCGTAGTTCCGACCTGTTGGCCCCAACCGAATGCAAGAAGTCACCGGCCCAATCACCGATTGAGCCAAATCACGAAGAAGGTAACGAGGGGGATTATTCACCTCCTCTTGCTCGTTCAGTGCCATGTCTAATTGGTTGTCTGATGCAGATGATTACGG